TTTGTATGTATGTATGTATGTATGTATGTATGTATGTATGTATGTATGTAAATGTAGTTTATGTACAATGATATAATTTTCTTTTTCTCTTTTCTTTTTTTTTTTTCTTATCGCGCAAGTTTTATACTTACGAAGAATTGAATTAATTGCCGATATTAATCCGAAGTAACGAACGATCGATTATTATTATTATTATTATTATTATTATTATTATTTTATTTTTATTTTCTTTTCTTTTTTTTTTTTTTTGATATTGTAAAATCATTTTGAATCGCGGAGTATATTTTTACGATCGGATCGTTTGATGATATCATATCATATGCATAGATACATAGATATGATACATATGTAATAATTGATCTCACATTAAACATTACGAATAATAAATGATCTTTAAAGGTCCGATAACAAACAAAGAGAAAGAGAGAGATAGATAGATAGATAGATAGATAGATAGATAGATAGAGAAAAATTTTGGTTAAGATAATTCGTTGTGAGGAGGGGAGAGTTAAAGAAAGAAAAAGAAAAATAATAAACATGTCGTGCATACCAAGAGCGGGAGAAAGAGTGATGCATTAAGGTCTCGAGATGCATTGTGCACCTCGAACAGGTTTCGTTCGAGTTTTATTGGAGCGTGAGCGAGTGTCACGAGCGTAATGGAAGGCATTGTAACGGCCCAAACTGGAATAATGCATCTCAAAAATTCACATCGAGAGAATTACGATATATATATATATCTCCCCTCTCTCTCTCTCTCTCTCTCTCTCTCTCTCTCTCTCTCTCTCCCTCTCTCTCTCTGTGTGTGTGTGTGTGTGTGTGTATGTGTGTGTGTAACTTTTTCTTTCGATTGCTTTTGAATTTGATCGATGATCGATTAAATATAATTTATCGTATAATATTCAATAATAATTATAATATAACTATAACGATTATTACGTAACAATAATCGATAATTATAAACGATCAAATTTTTAATCTCTTCTCTTTATTTTATTATGCGATCTTTTATGTTCTATCTTTCTAGGTTTTATGTATTATATGATTATATATATCATACGCAACGAATAATGGATAATTGCATGTTAAATAATAATAATAATGATAATAATAATAATAATAATAATAATAAATATAATAATAATAATGAAAATAAAAATAAAGAAGAAAAATGAAAATACGATTATTCATGTATGTATATACATAATATACATACATATATAATATATAATATAACAATATACTATATATATTATAACAATATATAATATAATATAATATACGTACTAGAATATATGAAATTGTAAGATTCATTAGAATGCAATAAATAAATAAACAAACAAATTATAAAACAATAATAACAATAATAACAATAATAATAATAATAATAATAATAATAATAATAATAATAATAATAATAATAAAAAAATCATAATAATAATAAATTAGAATACTGTAGGATATACAAAACGTGACAAATACAAACAAATAAACACCACCACAATCAACAACAACAACAACGACAACAACAACAATATTAACAATAAAACATTATACATTATTTAAAACGTGATAAATAAATAAATAAATAAATAAATAAATAAATAAATAAATAAATAAATAAATAAATAGAAAAACGAAAGAGTTAATATAACATCGAAAATGGACGATGGAAATTAAACGTAGGGTGGCGGGGGAAAAAAGAGAAAAAAAGAAAAAGAAAAAGAAAAAAAAGAAAGGATAGTAGGGAATAGAAAAATATAATATAGGGAATATGACGTGATGCATAGGGTGAGTATACGAAAGGGATATGAGGAGTGATATGAGAGGAGGTATGAGGAGGGACGATGTGAGGCGGGAAGGGAGGAGGGGAACGTCGAGGGGTGTCGGGGGGAGGGGGAGGGGGAGGGGGAAAGGAACCCCCCGCAGATGGTAAAGGGTTTACGGTCCGTCGATCTGGCATACATGCCGCCTCGTCTTCTTTCCTTCTACGCGAACGTTCCAGCTGGTATCAGGCATGCAATCACACGGAGGATTAAAATGGTTGCGGCGGCTAACACGAAGGATCCCAAAGGAGAAGGAGGAAGAAGGAGGAGGAAGGAGGAACGAGGAAGAAGAAGGAGGAGGAGGAGGAGGAGGAGGAGGGATTGAAGAAGAAGAAAAAAGGAAGGATGTCGAACCTCCTCCTTCTTCTTCCTTCTTCTTCCTTCTTCTTCTTCTTCTTCTTCTTCTTCTTCTTCTTCTTCTCTTCATTCTCTTCATCCATCTATCTACCTTCTTCTCCTTCTTCTTCTCTTCATTCTCTTCATCCATCTATCTACCTTCTTCTCCTTTTAACTCTTCATTCTTCTATCTTCTTCTCCTTTTAACTCTTCTTTCTTTCTTTCTTTCTTTCTTTCTTTCTTTCTTTCTTTCTTTCTTCCTTCTTTCTTTCTTTCTTTCTTTCTTTCGCATCGTTCGCGTTTGTCTTTATTTTCTCTGCTTGCGGGACTCGTTGACGGATTATCCTTGCAACGACTGAGGGCATCTCGAAACTCACGAATATCCACATCGTCATCGTCCTTGTTCGTGTCCTCCTGTCTACGAACGGAACTTCGAGGATCTTCTTCTTTCTCTTTCTCTTTCTCTTTCTCTTTCTCTTTCTCTTTCTCTTTGTCCTTTTTTCTTCTTTTTTTTTTCTAGACGTTCTCCATCTCTCTCTCTCTCTCTCCCTCTCTCTCTCTCTTTCTTTCTCTATCGTGTGTGAAGAGAGAAGAGATATAACCGTGTATATTTTATGACGCATATTTCTCATAAGATTTCTTTCTCTCGTCTTCCTATCCCGTATTTTGATTTGTTCGTTTGTTTGTTTGTTTGTTTGTTTGTTTGTTTGTTTGTTTAGATTTTTTTTTCTTTTCTTTTTTTTTTTCTTTTTTTTTAATATAAGACACTTTCATGACTTCACGTGAATTTTCGAATTAAATCGAATGGCTATTGATATTTGTATTCAATATCGTCGCCTTTATATATGTAATATATAATAATATATAAATTATAATAATAATATATAATAATATATAATAATATATAAATATAAAATATATATATATATATATATATATATATATATATAATATTGGATGATACGAACGTTTGAAGGTGGTTTTGTTAATTTTCCTTTGTTTTCTTTTTCTTTTTTTTTCTTTTTTTTTTCTTTTTTCTTTATTTTTGTTTGTTTGTTTCTTTCTTTCTTACTTTCTTTTTTTTTCTTTTGTTTTTTTTTTTTTATATATAAATTATTTATCTCGTGGTTATTTAATCGGTATGACAATTTTCTGACGGAGAGAGAGAGAGAGAGAGAGAGAGGGAGAGAGAGAGAGAGAAATTAAATAAAAGTAAAATAAAATAGAATGAAATAAATTAAAATGAAAATAAAATGATATGAAATGAAATGAAATGAAATAAATGGAAATAAAATGAAATGAAATAAATTCGCATACGTCGATACGAATTAACAAGATAAAAAACGAAATCAAAAAAAGAAACAAGAAACAAGAAAAAAAAAAACAAAAACAGATACAGAAGACGAAGAAGAAAATGGAGAATTAAAGAGTCGAAAAGTCAAAAAAAGAAAAAACAAAGAAGGAAAAAGAAAGGAGAACAGAAAGAACGACAAAACAACAAAAACGAAACGAAACGAAAATGATGATGAAGGAAAATAGAACGAAAAAAAGAAAAAAAGAAAAAGAAAAAAAAGAGAAGGGAAAAGAAAAGACAAAAAAAGAATCGAAAAGTAGTAGAAGATGGACAGATTAAAGAAAGCAAATATGGTAATAATTAGAGACGAGAGTTAGAATAGATTAAATGAAGATCGATATTTAAATAGATCTCGCGAGGATCGAACGATATTCCTTAAGAGAAAATTCCATTCTGAAACATGACTGAACAGGACGAAAGAAGTTTCCTGTTCACAAAAAAAAAAAAGAAAAATAGAAGGAGGAATAAAAAAAAGAAAAAAAAGAAAAAACAAAAAAGAAAAAAAAGAAAGGCGTGAGTCAGGATTAGATTCCTCTTCTATCTCTCTCTCTCTCTCTCTCTCTCTCTTTCCCCCACTTATATGCATACTAAACGTATACGTGTATATCTGCCATACACACAACAGGCACACAGATAGACATATAGACAGACGCACAGATAGCATATAGACAGAGACACAGATAGACATATAGACAGACACACAGACAGACACACAGACAGACACACAGACAGACACACAGACAGACACACAGACAGACATACATATATATATATATATATATATGTATATAGATAGATAGATAGATAGATAGATCTTTAGGAAAGGGGTGGCGATCATTAGCGAGTTGTGACGAGACTTACTAATAGGCGGCGGACAAGCGAAGACGTCGGGTTCGATGATACGAGCAGGTCGGAGTCAGACCTGCCCGCCCCTTATCCCCCTTATCCCGTTTCCCTTTCCCTTTCCCTTTGTCGGTCTCTTTGATGGGCACGTTGCTTCAACGTTGAGAACAACGCGACCGAGAAACGGCATTGCGACAGATACAACATCGAGATATTTCTTCGTGACTTAAAGCCCCACGTAACCTACGTACGTAAGTACTTTTACGTACCACATGTTTCCTCTCTCTCTCTCTCCCTCTCTCTTCCTCTCCTTCTCTTTACCTCGTCTCACCTCGTCTCATCTCACCTTAGTTCAGTTCAGTTCAGTTCGGTTCAGTTCAGTTCTGTTCAGAACAGTCTCACCACACCGTCTCATCATCGTCTCACCACGTCTCATCTACACATACATGGACATATGTGCGTATGTGCGTATGTGCGTATGTGCGTGTGTGTATGTATAAATGTTGCGTTTCATTTTCTTCTTCTTTTTCTTTTCTTTTTCTTCTTCTTCTTTTTTTTTGATCTCTCTCTTTCTTTTTTTCCCCCATTTTCTTCTTCTTCTTCTTCTTCTTTACTTTTTCTTCTTCGTCATCTTCTTCTTATCT